GAGTGTTCGGCAATCATAGCAAGACTTTACACATCCTGGCGCAAGCAAATTTCTTCGGACTCTTTGTTGAGGCTTTTGCAACTGATCGGGCATTTGCGCGCTCCGAATCCAATTCGGGAATCAGCAAGTTTCCGGTGTCCAGTCTCCCGTATTTCGGTTTCGTAAACAGACATCGAAGAGTCAAAAACAAGTGGTCCGCCTCCCGTGCCAGGATATCCTAGCTGCAACACTGCAACATGTAAACCTGAGGCTCAGGACCACGTCAACCAGATCAACGCATCTGGGGCGCAGTGTGGGCCGCAGCTGGCAGGGTTTGTCATTGTTCCTGTGACGTGGGGTGCGAAGATGAATACAGATGGTGGTGACGGTGATGATGATGGTGGTGATGATGCTGATGATGATTGTGTTCTTTCTTTACACTTGTTTGCACATGTCATTGTTGGGCAGAGTAATTCAAATAGATTGCAAATGGCATTCTGGCCATTGTTGTGGAGCCTGGCTGCTTTCCGAGCGTCTGCTGTTTGCTGAAGGCACATTTTATCCTTCCACAATTGAAGCTGACAAGCCTGATGCGCTATTCTATGGTCCCAACTACATCGCAGGATAATTTGATGTGTTTTGTTGCATGCAGGCCTTTTCAGCTTCACATACGAACTCCCGCAGACGTGGTTCTGCAGCTTGAGGCCGTGCGGGTTTGAATCCTACTCTATCCAGTTCATCAAAGGTATTTGAACAAGCCCCGGTAAGGAGCACGGGCCTGTAGTGCTTGAACCGGGGCTAGCTAGAAGTGCTGCTGCCTCAACCTGCAGACATGGGATTTTGTGCAGGTACATCCAGCTGACACCATTGGCCATGTCAAGGCTGGGTTGGTCCTCGTCGTGTCCCTGGCAGCGCGCGGCCCACGCAGCATCACTTGTTGAGGGCCGGCTTGCGTTGCTGGAGGGCACGCCCGCATGGGACGCAGTTGTGCCCGTGAACGTCTTTCGATTTTGGTTGTGTCTTGGGCTTGTTTCCCTGTGAGGTCGAACGCCAGAGACTAGCTCTGCTGGGAAGCCCGCTTTTGGACAGCCGTAGTTTGGCGGTCGGAATCCCAGCACACTGTAAGCTTTACGTACTTGATTGACAATGACAGATCTTACCACCAACCTCTTGCGGTTGCTGAGTCCTGTGGAATTGGCGAGTCGTTGCGGCCTCTGCCAGTTCTCACCAGACTGCCGGAGCAGCCAGCATGTCCATCGGCTGTTCATTCGCAGAAGGTTGCTGTGTCAGAAGCCGTTGGTTGAAATTCCTCGCACATCTGCAGAGCACAGAGCCATCTTTTTTAGGACAGTGCTGCTGCTGGTGCCCCGACTAAATCAGCCACAAGCTGAGGTGGTCTAGCGGCATTGCTGCAGTAATAATAGTAATCATAGTAGTGATCAAATTGAATACTGATAGTCATAATAGAAGGTGTAGGGTCGCGTTGTATGTTTCGAGGTCAGGCCACCGCAGCTTCGCACCGGCTGCCGGCCTGGGCCACAGCTTGCACCAGAAAGAGCCGCCTGGCCCTGTAGGGGTTTCCCAAAATTAGGGGTACCTTTACAAGGGGATCTAGGGGTTTTGTAGGCCTACACGAGGATAAGGCTTCACGGATTCGGGTTTCCCAAAAAATTAAGGGTATCCTTTTGGGGGTTCCCAGAATCAAGATCATAGTATTTAGGGGTCTCTATTGGGGCCCACCCAGTTTGGGAAATTACCATGTCTTCGAGGCGCGTTTTAATTAATGTCTGTTGACGAAATGTGTTGCGCAGTCCGAACTACTGAAAGTATGCTGACGAAGCGACACAATAATCTTCGGAAAGAGAGTTTGTGTAGGATTCTGGATCAGATTGCACCATCCGGTCCTCTTAGCATGGCAACTCTGAAGAGGTACCCACGATAAATGGAAAAATGAAACGGAACATAACACGTTCAAGTTACGTGCAAAGTATTGTGTATGGGATGTTAGAGGGTTTTGGGGTATACCTTGCTCAGAAGATCCGCTGCTCCTCAGTCCCGGTCCCGCCAAAGCCGCTGGCCTCCGGAACCCCGCGGCCAAGGGTGCCCCTGGTGTGGGCCACGGAGGGTTTAGGGTTCCGAGTTTGGCTTCTGTTTCTTTGTTGTAGACACGGCTCTCGGGGCTCAGCTTCAGGCATGGGGGATGCGGGAAGCAGCTACCTGTAGCTGAGCTGCCTTGATTATGCTTGAAGTCGCTTGGAAGTGTTGTCTTCAAACTGCTCGGCTCGGATCATGAACACGTTATGGCATCCTTAGCAGATCTATACACACATGGTCACCCCCTGCTGATCCACACTCTCTGTTTTGGATGCTAGCATGTTAGGAAAACCTGCCCATTCCTTGACAGCAAATCACTTCTTAAATGTGCCTCAAATTCAGGAAGGAAGTCCAGATCCTGAGCTCAAGACTATCTAAATGCTTTAACAAATTGGCTTCTATAAGCAGAAGTTTCGGATACTGAGCGAATCAGCAGGTTTGTGGGCTTCTTCTTGTCCTTACGTAAGCCCATGACTGAATGAGCTATGAATCTGCAGGAGAATTGTTGTCATTATATTCTCCGACCAGTATCCAGTGTGATTAAACGTGAATCAAACGTAGAGGAACGTCAAGTCCTATGCTGTTGACTTTACTCTTGAAATCCCTTATTCAATGTGCTTACAATGTAAAGATGAATTCTTAAATCTCGTGCCCATATGATTCACTAGATATGTTTAAACAACAGGGGGAATTCTGAGATTCGGGCTACCGATTCGCGGAAAATCTTCCTTTATCAAGTTGGCTTCGAATTTCAAAATAGTTTCTGATAATTCTCACGTCCTGGTCTTCGCCGCTCTATATAACTCCTCTAGTAAACTGGCGACGAACTTGCCAGAGAATTCCTTGCTGTCTCCTCATTGTCTTCATAGAAGCCCCTTACTGAATATGTTTCAAATTGTACAAGGAATTCTCAGATCCTGGGCTGCTGGCTTCATCTAGGAAATCTCTTGAAGGTGAGTTCTCCAATCCTGAGCTCCTGTTTTTCCCTTATAGAAATCCTTCACTGAATTTGTTTGAACAATTTGAAATTCCCATAAGTGCGGACATTCTTCACGTACATGCCTCACTGCATGCATCTCAAGTTTAATTGCCAATCATGATTTCTTTTTTTTGGCTACTGTATTGAAGGCGCTTCAAATTCAAAAGGAATTCTCAAATCATGGGCTCCTGTCTTTGTTTACATGAATACCTTATGAAATTTTACTTCAAAGTGTTGTCTCTGGTTGGACACTCATTTGAAATGGCTTTAGATCTACAGGAAAGTCTTCTGATCTTGCAGGATTTTTTGGTCCTGGGCTCCTTTTCTCTTTTGAGTTGCCTTATTGAATCTGCTGTCAATCTACTGGAGAAATCTTGAATCCTGGGTTCCTGCTTGTCGCCGCATGAAAATGTTCCCAAATTGGCGAATTCTTTAATCCTGACAACATCCCAGATTCCTGGATTTCCGCATATCAATTCACCATTTAATTTGACTTTCTCCAGATTCAAAATCTTCATGCGAGGAGTGCATATGACTGCTCGCAGATTTGCACATTTTAAATTCGCCGAATTGTAACTTTTCCGATCTGCAGATTCGTACATTTTGTTTTTGCTTTAGAGGTGAAGGAGCTCAGAGTCCTCATCATCACGCTCCACCCATCACCACTCCCATCCACGCTTAGCAATGGTAATAGGAAATAATCCAAGCACGAATTTCAACTGCAGAAGAGGTACCTGAGGCGTGTATATTTTGGGGCGGATACCATATGTAAATATATATATATATGTACGTATACATATATATATGTATATACACATACATATGTACATATGCACACACATATATATGTATATCTGTATATACGTTTGTATACGTATTCCAATGCTGAGAAATGCTAGAGCTAGAAATCCAGTTGTGGCTTTACCCTGGCTGCCAAGGTGTGTACAGACATCACGCGGCCCTTTCCGATGAGCTTGGAGTTCATCAGTATTGCGGAGTGGCGTAGCAAAGTTTGGACTGTTTTACGTTGCGGCTTCACTCGGGTGGGCGGGTTCTGCTTTGCTTTTCATCTTCCAGTTCTTCTTTGCCCTTACCCTGTGAGGGTGCCTGTGGTCTTCGGAGGTACAAGAGGAGCCTAAATCTTGACATGTATCTATATGAGTTGATGTTGTAACGAAGCACTTTACTGACTTTGCTGTCATGTTTCAATGCCTCACTTGCGGGTGTTGTCCAGTAGCTCGCGAGCATTTCGTTCTGTAGCTATTTTGTAAGGGCTCTCAGGGGCTTCGCTATATCACCGTCGACCATGCGCGGATGCAAGACATGTAACAACGTAGGGTTAACAAGCAGCTAACAAGCAATGCATGAAGCTGACAGGTGCAACTGTGGATGCTCGGCTTCACAAATTTACAAACCATATGCCGAGTTGCCAGATTACAAGACCCTTACCCAAAACTGCTTGCGGCTTCAGACCTCAACGCTGTTCGGGCAGGGAAATGCAAGCCTTGTCAGGGCTTGTTAGCTGTAAACCGAGATTCCTCAGCAAAGGGATCTGTAGAGAATTTTTGTTATGCATGCTTGGCGAGACCTTGACACGAGCTGGTAGTGTTGCGCACTGAAGCTATGTTGATTGTCCGTGGACACAGAACTGTGCAGTGCCTACGTCTTGCCTGGTGATCTGCACGACAGCCACTGCCTCTGTGGGACCAAATGCTGGATTTTCGGCCCTATACATGCTTGTAGGATCTGTGCCTTGTTTGGAAGCCAGGTATCAGTCATTTATGCTGGCAATCCAGCGGCAGGCCAGTTTGGTGTTTGGACCACGTCACGTGTTTGAGCTACAGCCTCAAAACAGGCTTTTTGCTGCAAGCAGAGAAGATCGGGGTCAGCAATTTGCCTACATGAAGCTGTTTGCTTGAAGAGGCGTAATGATGTCAGCTTTGGGTAGGTGGGGCGCAAGTCGCTCACATCCACCCTCGAGGCAGTTGCCCAGGCTCAGCTTCCAGAATACGAGCAGTGATCATCAGGCAACAGATGCAAGAATCTTAAGGTGAGTGCAACAAGGGAAGCGCGTGCATCAGTGTTTGCCGAAGTGTTGGCTGCCGGAAGCAAATGTTTTGTGACGATCATGGACGAGTTCTTCGGGACGTAGGTTATGTGACTATTTGATTATGTAATGTGTGATGCCAGCTCATATCCGATCTCCTGCTTGGTTGAGTGCAAGTTTGGGCTCAGCAAGCGTGCCATCTCCTCTGACGGTGTCGACCGGATAGTGCTGGAGCCATGATCCCCGGCAACTTCGTGCAATCAAGCGGCGCCATGGCCGTTCCGGTGATCGGAGCTATCTGCAGCCCCATGCCGGTGCTGATGTGCCCACCTTCTGGTGTTGCGCCTGGCCTCAAACAATCATTGAGCTGTTTTATCCTTGGCTGAATGTGCAAGAGCACGAACATTTGCCATTCTGCAACAGATTCGAGTTGCCATCTGAGGCTTTCATTGTGAACGTACAGGGAGGGTGGCTTGGCTCAAGTCGAGCACGCAGTGTGGGTTAGTCCTAACTTTTCATGACAA